TTAGACAATTGATTATTAATATTAGATATGTGTATTTTGTTCTTGTTGTTATAAATCAAATTCTATCTTGATAAATATTATTCATAAAGAAGAGTAAGAGCAAGAATTCATTGAAGAGCAAGATGAAATCACATTATTACAATACTACAGTTTTGCAAGAGACAGAGTAAAGATGAAAATTAAACCTCCTAAGAGATATACTCATGCTAACATAGTTGTTTTACTTTATCAATTATAAAAGTTATTAAAAATTAAAACCTTAAAACATACTAAGAGGTTATTGCAAGCGATGACTCAACACAATGTATCATTTTTATGAATTAGAAGTTAGAATCTCTTTATATGAACAAAATTTGGGACCTAGTGATATAGCTAAAAGGACAAAAGATAATCGATTCTAAATTAGTGTTTAAAAAGGAGAAAATTTCTCTAGGAGTTAAAACAAAGTCCATTACAAAGCACACTTGCTTGCAAAAGGATTTAGCCAAACCGAAGGAATGAACTTCAATTAAGTCTCTTCCCTAGTTGTGAAACATAGCTCCATTTGGGTGTTGGTAGTCATGATCGCATTATTTGATTTGGAGCTAAGCAACTTGAAGTCAAGACAATTTTTTTATTTTATTTTATTTTTTTGTATGGAGAGCTGGAAGATAAAATATATATGAAACAATGTGAATGTTTTGTTGTTAAAAAAAAAATCATATTTATCTTTCGAAGAAGTCATTATATGGTTTCAAATAATCTATGTGACAATGATATAAAAAATTTGATTCTTTTACGTTGGATCATAGTTACTTTAGAAGTGATTATGACACTTGTTTACATCATCAAAAAATTTTAGATGGTTCATTTTTTTTTTTTTACTATCTTAATAAATACTATTCTTATATTTCTCTTAAAATATAATAAGATTGATTTTTTTTATTAAATTTTACTCTTTTAATTATTTTTTCTTTTACTACTTAATTACTTTTAAATTGGTGCCTTGATTTTTTTTTAATTTTTGTATTTACTTCCATAGTAAAGGAAAACAAATTTAATTGGTATTACTTTAAAATAAATTCCAATAAAAGAACAACATTTATAATGCTTATTTAAACCAATTTATAGTGTTCATTTATTTTTATCATTCATGAGATGAGAGCTTAAAATATTAAAATCTAATTTATATTTATTTTTAATAAATATTCTTAAAAAAAAAATAAAACAAATTTCTTCTTTATTGTAGAAATTAACTTATATTTTTATTAAAAATAATATGTATAAGTCGGTTTTAACTTATACAAAAATAATTTATTTATTTATTTATTCTTATGAGCATTTGTTTAAATATTTATCCAAAATTTAGTTAAATAAATAAAAATTTAGAGAATAACATAATACAATGACTCAGACAAAATGTTAAGTTGACAATATAAAATATTAAATTTAAAATTGATTACAGTTCTCATAAAATGTGCTTAACTTTTATGTATTGTAAGCAAATTCATAGATGAATTCAATGTACTTTACCTTAGAAAAGTAAAAGTGAAATGCACAATGTTAATATACAACATTACCATAAAAAAAGCAATTGCATTTTTTATTAACCTCGCCTCGGCATTTTTTTTTTTTGGGCGACTCATATATACATATATAAATTGTGTGTAAATGCTAGCTTGGTAGAGTTCGCGAGTTTTTTTTTTTCCCATGAAAAACCACTTTTGCTTTAAAAGTACATTTGATTCAACTTTTGAAGGATAATCATTTTTTAATTATATTTGAGTTGTTTAGGAAGAAAGCAGTGTTTATATATATATGTTTCAAAATAGAAAGTAATGTTTGCAAAAAATAATTTTTATTTATTATAAAATCTGTAACAAAAATTACTTTTTTCTATATATCTTTGAATTTTTAAAAATTTTAATATAATTTTTCTATACAATACCAATATTTATTTATTTATTTATAGTTCTGTCTTTTTTGTTAAACTACATTATTCTGTTTTAAAAAATTGGATAATTCCAACCAGTTCTGATGAACAATGCAGTCCTATTCTTGCCAAGTTTGACTTTGGAAAGTACACTTGTACTTTATGCATGTCGTTGTAAGAATTTGTTTCTTTTATTTTATTTTAATTGGACATATATTTTAATCTACAACCAGGTAAAAATTATAGGTTGTTTATATAAAAATTTAAAAATCAACATAGAAATTTTTAATTTTTTATCATAGCAATTTTTTTTGGTCAAAAATCAGTCAACAACAGATTTTAAAATTTTAAAATATTTTTATCATTTCAAAATTCTCAAATGATGATATTTTAAAATATTTTTATTATTTTTTTAAAATTATCATTGACTAATTTAGATTTTTAATTTTTAATATAATTTATAAAAAATTGTTATTAATAATTTTTTTAGTTATTTTACGTCTAAATTTATATATCTACAAAAAAATAATCATGGACAATTTTTAAATCTTATATTTTCATAATTTCTTTTAAAATACTATATTTTAATATATTTTATTTTTAAATGTCACATATATAAAACATTTAGAATTGTATTTGATTTGGTCATTTAATTTATTTTAAATTTTTTTATTTTGATCTTGTAATTTTGTTTTCGTTTTTTGACTTAATTTTTTCTTTTATTTTGAACTTAAGAATTTTTTATTTTTTCTTTTTTCTTTTTGTTCTTCCTTCTATTTTTGCGATGGTGTGAGTGCTTAGCAGCAAAATGGCATCAATGATGGGATAGTTTTTCAATGATAATAAATGAGTATTGTTCCTTTGATAACGTAGACAATAATGATTAAGGGTAGACTTGAATTTGTGAGCTTTGTTAGTCAATACGGTAGTTAGGAATTTGGACTTTTGCATCGTTATCCGAGACGGTGATGGTAATGTTACGGGGTGTTGCTTTTTGCAAATTTTTTTTTTATTTTTTTTTAAATAATTTTTAAAATTTTTTTATTAACCTCAAATTTAAAAGCAGAATTTAAATATACACAAATAAAAAAAAATTATAAAAAAAATATACAGTTATTCTATTTGTTAATGTTTATCCTCAGCTCTTAAAATTAAACTTAACTAAATTTAAAAAAAAAAATATTAAACAATATATTAGCAGTACTTCTATTGCTCTTTCATGATGATTTTTTTTTAAATTTTTTATTTTAGTTTAAAATTTGAAATTTTAAAACATATAAAAACTGAGCTTCTAAAAATTAAATTACAGAAAGTTGTATAAAAAAGTATTTTTAAAAAGTTATATTTGGAAACATACCATTTATTTTAAAAGAGCATAATCCTAATTCTGAAAATATAAAATATTAATTTTATAAATTAATTTATAGAAATATAAAATTTAAATTTTGGAAACTTATTTCTGAAACTGTAAAACCTTAAATTTAAAAATTAATTTAATTTCAAAAATTTATTTCTGAAACTGAAGAGTCAAAATATTGGAGATTTGAAAATATGAAAATTAATTTAATTTCAAATATTTATTTCTAGAAAATATGAAAACATAAATTTGAAAATAAATTTAATTTCAAAAATTTATTTCTAGAAAAAAGTGTAAATGTTTGGTAGATGAATGCCAATAAAGACATTTTTTTAACAATAAATTAATTTTTTTTATAAAATATTTAATATATTTGGCTTATATGAAGAGTAGTAATGCTTAAAATATATTCAAAGAAGGTGACGATGAAAAAATAAAAACTTAGCGTAACAAAGAGGAAGAACAAAATGTAGCAGTGATGAAGAGTGAAAATAATAAAAAAAAGTTACTCTAAAAATTCAAATAAAATTAAAATATTTATATGTTTAATTTTAAAAAATATTTTATTTTTATAAAATGAATTCAATTTTTATTAGCGATATTTTAGAAAAAAAAAATTATTGTGGTGTAAAATGAAAGGGAGGAGGTGAAAAATCAACTCTAATGTTAGTTCTGGGATGAGGAAGAAAAAGGTTAAGAAAAATAAATAAAAAATTAGAAGATTAAATAAAAAAATTTAAAAATTCAGATAATAAAATAAAAATAAAAAAATTACAAAAAATTAGAAATTCAAACTGCTATATAAAATAAAATTAAAGAATTAAAATAATAATTTTGTCTGAAATTTATGATATTTAATTTAAATATATATCTCAATTATATTAAATACTTCAAAATTAATTTATTTAACTTGAAAATATATAAATCTCAAGTGATTCAAAGAGAGATTTAGTCCATAATTTTGGATAAAAATGGAGTTGTGATGCGTAAATCAAAACTTGGGCAAGGTTTTAAAAGCAGTGTGAAGGTTTTGGATGTTCAAGTGCAGCATGGCCGTAATTGCCGCTGTATGAGGTAGATTTATCTGCACTTCTCCACAATATTAAGGTTTTCACTTTTTGAAAATTTTTATAACCTTAATAATAAGCTGATTGTAATTGCAAATTTTGGTGACAGGTGAAGCTCATATAAACCACGAAACTGATGCAGACAGGGTTCAGATTAGCTTAGCGTATATAATGAAAGAGGTAAGAGGTGCAACAATTCACAACTGGTGGTGGCGTGTTGGGCATGTAATTGCAATATCTTTATTTTCTTCTCAATCAATCAATGACTTCCAAAGCATCCTTTTCTAGTTTAATCCTTCTGATTCAATATAAACAAAATTACGTTAAAGGATTTGGGAAGATAAATTACTTTAAAAAAAATTCGAGTGAGAGATAATAATGCAAAATTGAGAAAGGAAAGAGAAATTTATTTTTTCTAATTTAACAATAATTTACCAAAGTAATCTTACCAAGATACTTACGTAAATAAAATGTTACAAGTGTTTTTTGTCAATATATATATATATATATATATATATATATATATATATATGACTAATATGCTCCTTCTAAATATTGATTAAATTTAAATATAAATTTGGGTTGATGAAACGCCATTAGATTGGTTTCCTCACCAAAATGTTTGATGAAAATCCTGAATGAACATTGGCTTTATTGCGGGGATTTTATTTATTGGATTATCACTGACTGCCACAAAATCCACCTTCTGAAAAATTCAGAGGGGGCATTATTGCTTTCTCGTTATGTACTTGCAACTCTTGGGTGATTTTGTGTGTAATATGTACAACATATACATGTATGCATGCATTCTAGGAAAGAATAAAGACAAGGAATAACAACAAACAATGAAAAACAGAAACAGAAGAGCATGTTTTCATCTAATGTGTGACTAAGAGGAATATGATTCTGATGAATGAGTAGAATTTGTAGCTGATGACGAGGGGTAACATGTGCAGCTGGGGTCATGAATGACCTTCTTCTTAGTGATGTCAAGTTTGGAACAAAAGACACAATACCTCCCTCTAAACCTTGGATAATCCCAATCATCTTCATCTTCATTGGAATCATTGTCCTTTTCTGTGTCATTGTCATCATCATCACCAATGGGAGTATAAACTAACCCAAAAAATGGAAGAACTACCATAAGAAATTTGTCAATGCTATCATTGCTCCATTTCCTTCCCCTCTCCCAAATCATCAAAGGGGCAACGACTAGTCCAGCTCCAACCCCAAAACCCACTCCAGTGAATATATATTGCCAATCAAATTCCTTGATTGATTCTGTAGTTGCAGGGCTGATATTGCCATTGCAGTTTGTAGTCAAAGGAGGGCCACACAACTCTTTATTCCCAACGAAGGAAGTTTCTTGAAATGATTGAATTTGGGTCCCTGTAGGGATTTTTCCAAATAATTGATTGTAAGAGAGGTTCAAGAATGATAGGAAAGATAATGTTGCAAGCACTGTGGGAATGTTTCCTTCCAGTTGGTTTTTTGACAGATCTAAGGACTCAAGCTGCTTCAGATTTCCTATTGATGAAGGAATTTGGCCAGAAAGAGCATTATTTGACAAGTTTAGTATATAGAGTGCTTTGAAGTCAAATAGCTCTTCTGGTATTTCCCCTTGAAAATGGTTGGATGAGAAGTCAACGGAAGTGAAGACAGTTAGAATCTTTACCAGCTCCATCCGTTGACCTTTGCTTGTTACTGTCACTGAATCCTGGTAATATATTTGACTGAATTTAAGAACATTAAATATGAGATGATTTTCCTTTTCAGACATCATTGCCTCCCACCTTGTGAAGCAGTTTCCAGGTAGATTACCAGTGAAATTATTAATGGCTAGATCAACTATCTGAAGCATGGGCCAAGTGCCATTGGTGTTTGGACATCCAATGTGACCATGGAATTTATTTTTTCGCAAGACCAAGACGCGGAGTGTGGATATGTTCTTCAGCAAGCATGGAAAGTCATCCATAATCTCATTTTTTCCAAGGTCTAACACTTCCAATGCTGTGCAATTAGCAAGAGATTTTGGAATGTTTCCATCTATTTTATTGTGATCAAGATCGAGAGTCTTCAGAACACAGGAAGCTGGAAACATATCTGGGATAGGTCCTGTGAGATTGTTCTTGCCCAGATTCAACACCACAAGGGTGTCACTCAATTCCATTAAGCATGAGGGAATTGTTCCAGAAATGTTATTAATGGAAAGATCAAGCACTTGAAGAAATGAAGCGTTGCAGAGGGAGTCAGGGATGCTACCTTCCAAGGTATTGTTTGAAAAAGAGAGAAAAATTGTGAATGACAGGTAATTACCAATATCTTCTGGGATAGAAGAGCTGAATTTGTTGCTCGAGTAATCCAAGTAGGTAGCATATTTTGGGAAAACAGGTATTGGGCCATGCAGTTTATTATAATGAAGGTCAAGGACCACCAATTTGTAAGTAAGATTCTGCAGAGGTCCTTCAAAATCAGTCAGCAAATTGTAAGAAATATTAAGGCTTTCAAGATTTTCTAGTTTCCAAATCCAGTTGGGCACTTTTCCCTGAATCTGGTTATCTGAAAGGTCTAGATAGGCTAATTTGGATTGGTTTCTCAAGAAACCAGGGAAACTTTTCAAGTTGCAGGATGCCAATTTCAGACTGCTGATTTTGGGAAAGGAAGAGAGGTCAGCATTCACATAGACTGATAAGTTGTTGTGTGAAAGGTCTAATGTCGTTAAATTTCTGAGTTGCAAAAAATTGTTTAGCTGCATTGGCCCATTGAACTTGTTTGAGGAAAGTTGGAGAATAGAGAGTGTCTTGAGTTGGAAGATAGACACTGGAAATGGCCCTGATAGATTATTGCTTCTTAAATCGAGAGTATTTAACATGGGGGAAGACACATTTGTGGATATGTCTAGTTTACTAAACTGGTTGTAGGAAAGCTGAATATTCTGCAGCATTGGAAGTGTAAAAAGATATGAAGGAATTGTCCCACTGAAAGAATTATAATGCAAATGAATGCTGACAAGTCTGTCCAGTCCTTCAAAATGAGAGGATGATGCAATTCCACCACTTAAACCATTGCGTGAAAGGTCTAACTGGGCAAGTTTTTTGGCCATTCCAAATGATGGCATCGGACCTGTGAAGTTGTTAGATGACAAATCCACGTAACTAAGTTCTGTGAGGCTTGACAGTGAATTCGGAATTAATCCACTAAATCGACAGGCTGAAAGATCCAATATAGATAAGTGCCTCATGTTACCAACAGAGTGTGGAAATGCTCCAGATAAGCTTGTGTTACTTACTACTAAGGTCTGGAGTGATCCATTCGGTGAGAAGTCTGGAAAATTGCCGTTGAGATTGTAGTTGAATGATATGTCAATAACCAACAATGTACCAATGTTGAAGATCTTCTGTGGAAATGTTCCTGTCAACTCACAATAAACAAGGCTTAGGATGGTCAGAGTTTTCAAATCAGCAAATGTTTCGGGCACTGTTGATGATAAATTGTTCTGATCAAGAACAATAACTGACAAATTCTTAAGTCTTGCCAGGGAATGATCCAGTGGTCCTGAGAGATTGCACTGTGACATGCTCAGCTCTTGGAGGTCATGTAGTGAGAGCAAAGCATTGCACCATTCCTCTCCTGGAGCTGTTATACTTACACCATCCAGATACAGTTGCCTTATACTGGTAAGATTTTGGACAAGCTTGCGTAGATTTGGGTTTTCAAGTTTCAGCTCATGCCCAGTTAAATAGGAAAGAGAAGAGATATCAAGAGTAACCAACCTAGTCAGGTGAGAAATCTCTATTGGAATCTGCCCCTCAAAGCCAGCATTTGACAAATTCAGGTGAGTTAACTTCTCCAACTTGTTGAATCCAGATGGAATGGCAGAATTGAAATTATTAGCAGCCAAGTTCAATATATGAAGATCTTGAAGACTAAAAAGAGCACTGGAATTGTCAAATCCACCAGCGATTAATTCTCCACTCAGGTCAAGGCCAATAACATGTCCCTTATTGTCACATGATACACCACTCCAAACACAGCAATCAATGCTTTGATTCCACAACTTCAGTTTGGTGGAAATTTCAGGCTGGAATGTGAGGTTGTTCTTTAGTAGAAGCAACAATGATTGTTGATCCTTGAGACATTGGCCAATGGAGAAAGAGAAGTAGATGCTGAGATATATCCAGTCGCAAAGAAAGAAAGAAAGCAATGAAACTAACGTAATTCTCATTGGTGTCTAAACTGAGTGACAACCACACAACACAACACTGAAGAAGTAAGGGAAAAATGGGTAGTCTCATCCAGTTTTAGACCCATGAACAAGACCCTTTTGCTCTGTGTTCTCCAGTGTTTTATCTTCTTAAACTCACGTAAATTTGGTAAGGAACGGTGGCCGAAAGTGTAGAAGAATAGTAGAGTGGCAGAGGAAGAAGGTTAAGAGATTACAATGAGATTGGTCAGACATCAACTAAGAGCTGTAGCACCTTTCAAAGTAAACCGTGGCTAAAGTCATAACTTGGTTTTGTACAATGCTGTTTTGCCAGAAAAGAAAGAAAAATGAGGCCACGTTAGTTGAAGACCACCATTATTTTTATGACATCATACGCGTTTCTATGTCGGCTCCTCTTATTTTATGTTGACTTTTTTGGTAGCTTCTAAGATGGGACTCTTTGCAATTTTGGATTATTAACGACCCTACAAAATAGAGAATACGTTATGACTTTTTGCACTTCCGCTAGTTTGATAATGATGATTTCCATTCAGTGGGTCGGTCTAAACGGTAGGCATCAAGTCATTATGCATAATCTTACCGTTAAAGGAAGAGAAAATATGAAGTTTACCGTTTTCCCTACTTTACTATGTGATTGGATCTTATGAACTGAGAGCGATTATTGTAATGCCATACTTCTTAAGCTTAAATTGTCTTCGGATGAAGGGTTTTAAAGATCTATTGATCTAAATCACTTATAATATTTTAGTTCAAATCTTTTTAGCCCTATATTTTTATATTCAGTCTTTCTAATAAATGTAATCTAATAAAAAATATTTGACCTTTAAACAAAGTTAAATTAGAAGGATTAAATTTTTTTTATAAAAATATTAAAATAAGAGGATGAAAAGTATGTTTAAGTCTAATAAATTTGATGAATGCCAACTAGTGTTATTATAATCAATGGAGTATAAATGAACACATATAGAGCATGGGAGTCATGTGAATTTATTTATTTTAAAATTAGTACTGCCATGCAATGGACGGACAAAATATTGCATAGTGGAATAATATTAGGCTGAAATATATAAATACCCGGCCACCTCTTAGACTTTTCCGGTATTGAATTGAATGTTCAATGTATTTCTTCCTTTCTAGTATATAAACAAAATAAATACCCATAACACCTTGATTTAACTTATGAATTGAATGTCCAATGTTAATTTAATTTATATATTTCTAGTGTTTAACATTTCTTCTGTCTTTCATTTTATTAATTTATTTAATGATAAAATAAACTAATGACAAAATTATGTCATATAATGTAATTTAAAAAAGTAGTATACTATATTTCTAGCATTTTTCTATTTATAATTATACACGTGGAACAAAATTCTGAATCATGCAAGATTTTCCTAATAATGTGAAAACATTAAACATTGGCATCAAGACCTCATCTTGAGTAACGCTGTTGCGGTTGGCACAAAGTGAAAATAATTAATGAAACAAAAGTAGTAATTGATGATGTGATAAAAAAAATTATATCTCTATATTTCTTGACAAATGTTTAAATTGTGACCCAAAAAAACTTGAATAAAATTATTATTTAAGGAAATATTATTAATATATTTTATTTTTTTATCATTGAATAAAATTTATGAGAGAGGTGAATTTCTTATATTTATTAAGATCTATGTTCACAAAATTCACATAATAATTAGAAATATATTATTATCGTTTCTTTTAACATAAATTTTATCGATTTTTTTTAATAAAAGTCACCTAATAAATTCTTATGATCGAGTGACGTTGAAAATAACATTCTTACAAAAAATTATTATATATAAATTTTTATTTTATATAATATTAAACAAGTTAAAAAAATTAATAAAATAAAAAATTAATGATGATAATAATTATGAAGATAATTATAATAAAAATAATATTTCTCTGGATGGATCTGTGAGTAACAGTAATAGTATTTTAAATTGCAAATTATATGACTTGATGTGGCTATAATATTGTCATTGCAGGGGTTTCAACTAGTACAACACACCACAATTGTGATGTGATTAAAATTCATAATGAATCGCAATGTAAAACTGCAACAAGCACTGCGTAAATTATTATTAATTATTTTTTTATTTAGTTGGTTTAATATGAATTATGAAATGTTATGAGTAGTTTAAGATATTAGTGACTATGTGAAGAACGAAATAAGAGATTTGAGATAGAGGAGAAAGAAGAAAGAAATTTTGAATTAATATGGATAATAATTAGTTATAATATGTAAAAACTTAAAATAAAATAACAGCCTTTGATCTTTTTTCGTACTCATTCAATATCTAAGTTTTCACATTTTTATTTTTTTATACTTAAGGTTTTATACAAAAATTTAAAAATAATTTAGGGTTTGTTATTTTTAAAAATATTTTTTAAAAATTTTAAAAAATATTTATTAAAATGAGTTTATGAAAACTATTTTTAAAAATAATTTTTCATTTTTCAATTTTTAAAACTAAAATAAAAGTTTTAAATGTGTGTGTGTGTGTGTGTTTTTTTGCTTTTAAATTTTCTCATCTTACAAGTAAGTTTGAAAACTAAACGAACGGACACATTTTATTTTCATTTTTTTGAACTTTTTAAAAATAATATTTTAAAATATAATATTTTAAAATATAATTTTTAAAAATTAAAAACTAAAAAGAAAATAATCAAGTCCTTAATATTTTAATTTTTTAAAGATATTTTTTAAATTTTTATTTTATCTTTTATGTATATTAACTAATGTTACACTTATTTATTATCTTCTACAGAACAAGTATTAATTATTAAGAATATAATTAAAAAATAAATATTTATTAATTAAATAAAATGATAATAAAAATAAAATAAATAATAAATCAGTTTTTAAATTTATTTTTTATTTAATTAATAATATTGCTTAAATATAAACAATTGTTGTAACTTTTACAACATTACACTGTAAAAGATAACGTTATATATAATAATTTTTATAAAAAAAAATCAACATTTAATACTATTAATATATTATTATTATTATTATGAATGATCACCTTTAGTTGTTCAGTCTTAATTGCTTAAATGCTATACTTTTATCAATATTATGATCACAAGTCAACCATCATTTCCAAGAAATTAAATATGCAATATACACACATACAATTTAACTAAAAGATACAACTTAAAAAAATAATTCTGTTTGTACAGTATTGTTTTTACTTGTACACCTCTTTGTTATGACTTTGACTTTAATTTTTTAAAAATGTATTTAAGTGATTTACATACAACATTCATAATTTACAATATTTTTTCAGAAGTAATTTGTAAATAGCTTCTAAAATTTAATTTATAAAAAGAATAAAATTATTTAAAAAATAAAATTCTAAAATATAATTTTTGAAAGATATTAAACACATTTCAAAAAAATAAATTAAAAAATAAAAATAAAAAGTAGTACAAATAAAAAATAGAAAATTTAATTTTCGTATTCTTAAGCCATTCAAACATAAGTACAAATACTACATAAAAATAAAAACTGAAGACCTCAACAAGTTAATTAAACCCTACAGAACCAAAACTCAACTTAAACCACTAATAAACTAAACCCTAACACCGAAAACAAAAAGTTCAATTTTTTATATCTCAAATTATTATAGTTATTATACAAGTTACTTTACTTTTCTACTTTGTTTTACATCATTCATCTCATTGATTTATATTTCTTTTTCTGGAAAAATATTAAACACATTTCAAAAAATTAAATTCTAAAAATAACAATAAAAAATATAGTGTAAATACAAATAATCACCCAAATTTAATTATAAAAATACAACATAAAAAACATTTGTGGTCTAAACTAAGATCAACAGAAGAATAAAATTTCAACTGAAATTAACAGTAAACTAAAACTTAATATCGAAAATAAAAATCCAAATTTTCATATCTCAAATTTTTATATTTATTTTACAATTTACTTTTTTTATTTCTTTGTATTTTTACATCATTCATGTCACAGATCCTTTTTCTTAAAATTTTTTATTTCTCTTCAAAATTTTCTATTTTTACTAAACCAAATATATATCTCAAGTGTAAATTTCATATATTTTTCCATTAACTTATATTTTTAATTCGTTCAACTTATGTTATGCAAAATTTTGTACTTTTAAAGTTTTTTAAATTAAACAATTTAATCATTTTAAACCTATTTTAGTTCAAAAATCAAAATTAAAATTTCATCCAAAAATTCATATTTTTTTCATCTTCAAACTTTATTATGTGTTAGAAGATATTTTTCTTATCAATTTCTTACTAAAATTTTAAATTTATTTTATATCTTTAATATGTTTAATTATATTATTTGTACATTTTTATGAAATTTGATTTTAATTTTTGAATTTTTTTGTATTTTAATATTTAATTTTTCTAAATTTAACACCTTTAATCTTAATAATGTATTGTAAGCAAAAAGTTAATATGTAATTAATCACATCATGAAATTATAAATGCTGATTTTTTTTTAAATAAGAGACAAAATATTTTTAAAGATTAAATAAAAATCTTACAAAAATATAAAATTAAAAATATATTGAAGTCTTAAATAAGAAATTACTAAAGTTTTTAAGAAGAGATGAATGATAAGATCAAATTTAATTAATTTTAGAAGTTAAAGAATTTAATTAGGTAAATTCTACAGTGTGCTGGAAAATGAAGGAGTATTCTATGCTTTTATATGTGTGGAATAATCATAACTATTGATTTTAGTAGTAGAATTAGTGATATATTTAAAAAAGACATAAATATCATTTAATATTTTTATATAATTTAGAGAAAGTATTCAATACTCTTCTAAGTTTAGGAATATCATAGCAATCACTAATTAATTAACTCTGAAAAAAAAAGTATACCATCACAAAATTCCAAAAAATTTAGTGGTTAGCTTTATTTTTTTTTATGATGAGTTTAGGGCAGAGTTTAACAAAACATGAATATTCTATTCACCGCTTAATCATATAAAGTAGGGTGCACGATGGCAACTCGTGATGAAGTGTGTCGTTCTTTGATGATGATAAAGAGACTTAAGATATGCTTGTAAGTTATGTTTATATGGTCTATGATTTTTTATTTGTTTCTTTTTTGTGTCTTTTAACTTAGGGATAAACAAAACTACTTCAATATATTTTTAGAAAATAGAACACCAATTGTATCAAATAGCTCCATGAGTGTCTTGAAACACTTACAAATCTTGTAAATTTAATTTAAAAATTATAATTAATAATATTAAAGTAAACAAAGCGTGTCGTTCTTAGGCTTGACCTATCTAATAATTTTGAAATGCTCTGTCTATGACAATCTTAGAACTAAAATACTCTGTTAGTGACAATCTTAAGAATTAAAATACTTGTCGATGATAATCTTAAGAATTAAAATGTTTGTCAGTAATAATTTTACGGACAAAAATGCTCGACAAGTGATAATTTCAATGACTAAGATGAAATAAAAAACATATGCTATATCACATATGATATTATTTTTGTCACATAATTAATCACACGCATCACTTAACATGATATGTTAACGTTATTTTGCCATGTAATCAATTACATGTGGTACTTAATGTGATATGTCAGCTTTCTGTTACTATTTGTTAATAAAGTCTGTGTTTAGGACTTAAAATGAATGACAAAGATGAAAGTAGGGGGACTAATATGACATTTTAAATTTTTTAAGGGACTAAAATGTCAGACGCAAATTCTTTCGAGGAATAAAATAAGGGTTTAGTCAAATATAAATAAGTCCGTGAGAAGATGATAAATGAGATGGCCTAAATCGAGATAGCAATAAGCACTATAACAAGCAAGATTCTGTCTTTCAGAAATATGTAGTAGAGAAATTCTTTTACTTGAACGAAAAATATTAAAGTTTTTAATTTAAATTAAGGTTATACGTATAAGATATACATAAAAGACTATAACAAGCAAGACTCTCTTTCAGAAAGTACTTAATAGAGAAATTCTTTAACTTTAACGAAAAAGATTAGAGTTTTTAATTTTAATTTTTATTTATTTTAGAATTTAATTTATTTAATATATTATTATATTATTTTATATAAAATTATTTAATATATTATTATAAATTTTATGAATTTTAAATAGGTTATTCTAATAGGTATGATAGATTTTTTCTTAAGTTCAAGTTTGACCTATTTAATTAATTAATTTTTTAAAAAATCTAGACTTTTGTCAAAAAGCCTAATTTATTTCTATCCCTATCGATACATTATTTAATTTTTTTTATCAATTTCAAAATATCTAAATTAAAACTATTAACATGGGTCATGTTGGTTAAGAATTTTGGTTAATAGTAATTTTTGTTGCACTTTGCAAATTAAGAGAGTATTTTATGTCTTCTTATATATAAAATAATTATGAGTATTAATTTTACATTAATAAATAACAAGATTAATGATTCATATTATAAAATATGTAAATATTTTATAATCTTTAATGTCAAGAAACTATAACTATTGTTTTTTGTTTCTTTTTGTGACTTGCCAAATTGATGTTTATTTAATGCCTTCAATGGAATTTTTAGCTTAATTAGGGTTAATTTTTTTTTTTTTTAAAAATACTGAAATAGGATTTTAGAAAAATAATTTTTGTGTCTAAGGTGGAGAATGACATGTGGAAAAAATGTTGTCCACGTAGTTGCGGACACTAAAATGAAGAATCGCCTAAAACAAAGACGACACCTTTATATTTTTGACACATGTCTATCTTGAAAATGAAAAATAAAATTAAAAAAATTTAAAATTCATTAACGGTTGGGAAAGATAGAGGACATGTGGCTAAATCGTAGAGAGTCGCAGGCCCAGTTTTGAGGATAGTTTAGAGGTGCGATCGCTTAGGGCCCAAGCTTAAAAGAGGGCCCGAAGTAAAAATTGTGTCCTACTTTAACTTGAAAAAAAATCTAACTTTTACAGTTTGCAGTTGGAAAAAATAAAAAAAAATAAAAAAGACCTTTTAATTCCTCACACCTCACTTGCTATAAATATAGTCGACTCATTGACCTCTGTAGACTCAAAACTTCATTTAATTCTAAAATTTTACTATTCTTAACATTAAAGCTCATGGATAAATTTAGTTTTCTCCAAAAAATTAAATAGTTATTGAGTTTGTCAAATTTGTAAATTGTTATCTAAATGTTTTAATCAGTTATAGAATTTTTTTTAGGGTCCCAGCAACTATATCATCAACTCAAAGAAGTTTTTTAGAGTTAAAGTTAATCAAAACCTACCTAAGGTCATCAATGTTACAAGAACCATTGAATAGTCTCACAATTTTATTAATCGATAAAGAATTTTTTTAAAATATTAATATTAATGTTATCATTAATGATTTTGCATCTCAGAATGCTCGTAAAATCTATTTTTTATAATTTTTTTTATTTTTATAGTTAATTATAACATAGAAATTGGTTGAATGAAAGAATATTATTTTTATAATTTTATTAGAAAAAATTATAGCCACTTAAAAAAATATATTATTTTAATAAAATTATTAATATATACTTTTATTTTATTTATTACATTTTATAATTTTTTTAAAGAATCTTAATTTTTTATTTTGTCTAGGATTTCAAAAAGTTCAAGAACAATCCTGAAGAGTCGACTAGAGCATGGCCGGCTTAATAAGAAATGACACTCTTTTAATTAGTCCATGTGGCAATGCCTTTAAATAGTTACGTGGTGTAGCCTTTCCCTTTTTTTGCTTTTTCCCTTATTCTTTGTTCATCTTCTTTGCAATTTTCCCTTTTATTGTGTTGCCAGAAAAAAAGAAAAAAAAACTAACATATCACAGAAGTAAGTTTGCATCCTGCTAGCAGTTTTTATGGTGAAATCATTTTGTGACAAGATAAAAGATAAAAGAAATAATAATACAAATATATTTTATTTTTAAATGTGATATTTTTTGACTGCATGTATTTAATTTTGAAATGGTGGTGCAGGTGAAGCTTTTGTGGCGTGAAAAACATGCGGTGTTCGTGATTTTCGCAAGAGAAATAAAAAAATGGAGAAGAGATTCTCAAACCAGGCTTGACGGAGGTGCATATTTTTTTTTATTTTTTTTGTTAAATATATTTTATATAGATTTAGTGTTTATAAAAGTTAAAATGTCAGATTAATTTTTTTCAGAAATTGTGTAATCAATTTAAAGAACAGTATTCAAATAATTTATAATCAATTTATATTATTATAAATACTTAAGTTATTAACAAATTAATATATACATAACGCTTTTACAATAAAAAAATATTTTTTCTGCACATAATGCATATTTCTTAATATGAAAAATCAAACAAATTAATTAAAACACTAACACTCATAATATTATTTATTTTTTCCTTAATAAAAATAAATCATATAAAATAAAATAAACTTAGGAGCTATTGAAAAGAAAATTTACATGAATATAAAGCCTAACCTAACTGTAAATTTTCTCATCTACCACTTTCATAGTTTTTACAAGTTTACATATTTATAGAGAGACGGAGATCACACAAAAATTGTCTCTATTTGGATGACATGGACTCGTCTCTAACGTGGACGACAGTAAAATCATCAACTCTGATCTTCTATGAATCTCCCCAACCATCTTTAAATAAAGTATTTTATACGGTAGCACTATGAATAGCACATAGTAGCGCAGCACTCAATACACCAGTAGCTCTCATCATATACAATGGATTTAATGTTCAATTATAAAACCCTTAAAAAAACAGAATGAATGAAAATATAGCTGCTAAACCAAAACTAGGTGCAAAGAACCAACCAAGATGATACAAAAATTGTCTCACTTATAAATGATATAAGTTTCTGACACAACGCTTATCATTTGTACGTTAGTTTCATTCCAATATAAGTCGACATACTAAAAAGCTGACACGTTATTGTAAGTATTAGCATTGAGATAGACATCACTTAAAATTTTTTAATGTAAAATAATAAGTATTGTCCTTTTTTTAGATGACACTCTTGCCACCTATCATTCAATGCTCCAGATAAGAAAATTGTTTTCACTTTACTCTATTTCAATAATTATTTTAAATTAATCTTAATAAGGCAAAAATAAACCCTTCAATGCTATCTTCTTTTATCTTTTGCAGCTTAGCCTTCCATTTTCTTGATAATTCTTATCCTCTTGTACTATATAAGTCTAGGTATCAATAGGGTGAGTGGACTCTCTTTCACTCTCTTTTCTAAAATTTATTTTTCATTCTTTCTCTTAATTTAAAAAAATAGGGGCATTTTAGTGTTATTTTGAGTAAATATTTTTAAACTCGAGTCTTAATAAATTTAATTTTGTAATTTTTTTACTTAAAAACAAGTTTATGCTAATATAATTTATGTTTGAATTTTAAAAAAATAATTTTATAGTAAAATTCAGTATATATTTTTTAACTCAATTAAAAAATTATAACTTATTTGGTTAACTCAAAAACGAAAATAATAATTTTATTCAAGAATACACATACATCAAAATTTTCTGTAATTACGTTATAGAAGTAAACGTAATTATATGAGAATTTAACGTGAAACCATGCGTGCCCTTAAATCCTTAAAATGTATGATTACCTTACACGTTGAGTCAAGAAAGATGGCAAATTTTTATTTCTCAAATTTGTTTCCGTTTTGTTTAATTTTACATGACATAATAGTAGTCATAAACCAGTCGTATCGATTTCCCTCTCATCCTTTCCCATGTCATCATCAGTCACTTTCACAATTAACAGTTCCTTTTTTTCACTTTTATCTGTTTAATAAAAGAGACAAGAATAAAATAAATATAAAGAAAGCAACATTCAAAAAGAGGACAATACACAATGTTTGCAGGTTAAAAACAATCTTATTGAAAGACAGAGTCATACGAGGCATGTACTTCCATATACCTTAAGCTATTCATTAATCCCTGCACTGATGATTTGCAATTATAGTGCAAATTTTGTAACAGAGAGCTATTTATTGGTGCTAATAAAATGCCTCCACAAGGGCTCTTTTGATTACCTTGAGTATGCCATCCGCCTTAGAGATCTGTAACTCTGCTCTCCATGTCTTTCATATGCAAATTCTAGATGAGGTATGGAGTGATAAAGTACGTCATCTACACATTTCCAGTACCTTTTCCTCCAAGATTTATAGAGTATAAGAGGCAAAACAACAATTCCAATTCCAAAAGTGAATCCTAGTTCAACTGATATAAAATTCCAATTAATGGAATTCTTTGTATCAACATTGGAAGTTGAAGCTGGAGTCCCTTGCTCTCTATCACCACCACAATTTGGGGTCAATGGTGGTCCACACAACCCATCATTGCCTTTGAATGAGTCAGCTAGAAAAGACTGAATTTGGGTACCTGTTGGTATTCTCCCCATGAGATAATTACATGATAGGTTCAAGAATGAAAGAAAAGATAACTTTGCTATTTGTGTGGGAATTTTGCCACTCAAATTGTTGTATGACAAGTCCAAGGATTCAAGATCTTTCAGATTTCCAAAAGAGGATGGGATTTGGCCTGAGAAAGCATTGTGAGATAGATTAAGTATGTAGAGAGCATTTAGCTGTCCAAGACTTTCTGGTATTAGTCCCTCAAATTTGTTGCATGACAAGTCAATGGCAGTGAAGATGGTTAGGATCTTTACTAAGTCCATTTTTCGCTCTTTGCTTGTGACTGTCACCCTGTCTTGGTAATAAACTTGATCATATTTTAGGAGTTGAAATTGAAGATGACCTAGCTTGGACTTGCTCCCATAATTTTCATCAGCTATCATTGCTTTCGAAGTTTCAAAGAATGACAATGGAATTTTACCACCAAAATTGTTGTATGCAAGGTCAAAAATCTGAAGTTGTGGCCATGCTACCTTGGTTCCAACACATTTGAGGTTGCCATGCAAATTGTTGGACCGCAAAATAAGAACACGTAAGGTGGATATGTCCTTCAACCAACAGGGGAACTGATCGTGTATCTGGTTGTCTCCAATGTCTAAAATCTCCAAGGTGGCACAATTAGCCAGATATTTTGGAAGCTTTCCTTGTATAGAATTTCCATTTAAATGGAGTGTTCTCAAGTAACACAAGCCAGGAAAAGTATCAATGGTGCCATTTAGTTTGTTCCTCCCTAAATCTAGTATGCTAAGACTTCCATTCATTGCAATCAAGCATTTCGGAATTGTTCCAGTCAAAGAATTAAGTGAGAGGTCCAACACTTGAAGATTTGAAGCATTGCATATGGATTCTGGGATATTGCCGTGCAAATTATTGTTTGCGAAAAGGAGAAACATAGTGTTGATAAGAAATTGACCAATTTTTGTTGGGATGATAGAGCTCAAATTGTTATTTGAAAAATCTAAATAAATTAATGATTGTGGTAGAGTTGGAAGTGGTCCTTGGAGAAGGTTGGAATGAAAATCAAGTATGGATAAATAAGACAGATTGTTCAAAGCAGGTTCTTCCCAGTCAGTCAGGTAGTTGTGGGAAAGATTTATGTGATCTATAAAAATATTATTCCAAATCCATTGTGGTATAGTGCCAGAAATATGGTTATTTGAAAGGTCAATGACTGTTAGTGAATGGTTTTTCAAGAATCGTGGAAATGTTGTCAACTTGCAAGAAGCCAAACTTACCCGTTTCAATTGTGGAAATAATGGTGATGGAAACAGTGGGGTGGATGTATCAATTATTGTCAAGTTGTTGTATGAAATGTCAAGTGTAGTAAGGTTTCTTAGCATGCTAAGCATATTGAGCTCTATGGTGTCGCTAAACTTGTTGAAAGAGAGTACAAGATCTTGAAGATTTTTGAGTTGAAACAGAGAATCGGGAATAGGCCCTTCTAAATGATTGCCACTCAAATGAAGCGATTGTACTCCAGAGGAGGCATTTATGAAATCTTTTAGTTGACCTTCAAATTCATTATTGGAAAGTGCTACATATCTCAGTGATGGGAACATGAATATAGAGGAGGGAATCATTCCAGTGAAAGAGTTATCAAAGAGGAAAACACTTTGGAGATTTTGGCACATACCTAAGGATGAAATTGAGCCAGCAAAGCTATTCCCTGACAGATCTATATCAACAAGTTGGGTGAGATTTGATAATGAGTCAGGCAGTGTTCCATTAAATTGAGATGAATAAAGGTCTAGAGTGGACAAGTGTTTCAAATTGCCAATGGAATTTGGAAGTGGACCAGAGAAACTTGTGTAACCAACTATCAAGGTCTGGAGAGATCCATTCAGTGGGAAATATGGGAAGAACCCATGAAGATCAGTGTTATATGATACATCAATAAAGGATAATGTTGGGATTTGGAAGATATTTTGTGGAAACATTCCAATCAATTCACAACCAGCAAGACTCAAGGTTGTCAGGTTTCTGAAATTTGCAAAAGTTTCTGGCACTGTAGATGATAAGTAGTTATCATCAAGATGAATGGCTGAGAGATTCTCAAGTGTTGTTAGAGAAGAGTGAAGGGGCCCCGAGAGGTTACAGTCAATCATGCTCAGTTCTTGCAGAGATGGAATTTGCAACAATGCAGCATGCCATTTTTGTCCATGAGCTGATATAATCACACCATCCAGATAAAGTTGTTTTATCTTTGTCAGGTTTTGGACTATCTTTCCTAGACTTGGGTTTTCTAGTTTCATTAATTCTCCTGCTGAGAGATCAAGAGTAACCAACCTTGTGAGTTGAGAGATCTCTATTGGAATCTGCCCCACAAAGCCAGCATATGCCAAATTCAGATAAGTTAAATTCTGTAACTTATTGAATGAGGGTGGAATCTCTGAATTGAAGTAATTGTTAGCCAAATTCAAATGCTGGAGATGTTGGAGACTGAAAAGGCTACTTGAATTGTCAAATCCACCAGAGATTGACTCCCCACTCAGATCAAGACCAATAATAACATGTCTCTCCTCATCACAGGTTACACCCCTCCACTCACAACAAGCAGTGCTTTGATTCCACCACTTTAGCTTGCTCGAACTTTCATGTTCAAATTTAAGGTTGTTCTTCAGTTCCAGCAGCAATGATCGTTGATCCTCACGACATTGGGCAAAGACGACAGAGATGTAGCACAGCATGAAAGAAAAACATGAAATTAATGGAATTCTCATTGGTGTCTATTCAGAGAGAAAGCTACACAAAGATTGAAGAAGTGAAGAAACTAAGGCAAAGGAGGAGGTTGAAGAAACATAGGATACATCGTCAAAGTAAACCAAGTTCTGTCAAGTCAATGAAGCGATAGTCTAAAAGTAGTTTCCTTTTATTTTTCTCTTAATTATTTCCCAGTTTTGTGCTATTGGCAATGTGATCCCACCATAAAGTTGGAGAGGAATAGGAAGTCAAGCTAATAAAATGGATTTGGTCAAAAACTGTAGACTGCTGTAGTTGTTTTGGAATATCTGTGCAAGGAATTCCATTGTTTTAGAGTTTAGCCCCCACTTTTGTAGAATTGATTCGTTTTTTATTAAAGCTTCTCAGAAATAAGAGACTAAAGGACTTCATGTCAAAAATAAAGTTTTTATTATTAAAGAATGTTATCAATAATAGAGTAAGCAAGTAAGAGAGAGAAATTTTTTTTTTCTGACAACCATAAAGATGATGAGGAAGAATGGAGTCGGAGCATCTCATGTTGCAATCTTGGATAATATGGCATTCTTAATGCCGATACTACCCATAATTATGTCAAGTGACATCCTCTACCCTAATCGTTGATTTAAATTTTAAAAATGAGTATCTACACTTGTTAGGATGATACTCATTTAAAAAAAAAAAATTCAATATCATCTCGTCAAAAAATAATCCTAAACAAAAAATATGTTTTACAAATGTCTTATTTAGATAATTTGTTTTTAAATTAATCTAGCAAAAATGACCCATTATTTCACTCAATTTTAGTGTCTTGTGTTAGTTGATGGACTAATTTTGTTTATGATACACATCTTATTTTATATTATTTTTAAAGTAAATTTTTACGTTTCACCTATCAATGATAATCACCCGTGTATTTAATCAATTACTAGAAATAAGAATGAGTTGCTTACAAGTTTAACATTAGTCTAGTTCTTTATAAGTCAACACAATAATCTTTAATAGGAGCATGCACAAAATATACTTAATAGGCAAATAACAGTGTTGATTTCTTGGCGTATAAACAGTTTTTTAGTTTTAAAACTTAACAGTACCAGGTAAAGAAGTTTAGCATTGTTACTTGATCAATAATTTAAAAGCACACTTTGTCTTTCCACAAATTACAATACGTGTAATATCTTTCCAAATTTTAATCACTCCTTTAAAAAAATTACATTCTTCGCAATCCTTTATACAATGTATATGTTTATAGTTCATTTTTGTGTTTTTTCTTAGAGAAACTCTTATCTTTCCATAACATTTCTTTTAGAAATTTTTAATATCTTGTCATATAATTGATGTAATTTAAATACACATATTTAATGATTGAAAACAATAAGAAAAACTCAAATTTGATGATTTAAATTTAAATTATTTAGTCATTAATTAGATCGCTAAGATATAACAAATTATTTTATCAAAATGGCATTTCAATTCATGATTTTATTCATAATTAAATATCAAGTTATTAAATAATTTATTATATTTTAATAACTAAATTTATATTTTATTTTTGTGACTAAAATATCAGTCACTCATTTATTTTATTTATTTATTAATAATAATTATCAGTAACTAGTTGTAAAAATATTTTTTATTCAGTTGCTAAAATCGATCTTGATGAATTCTTTTCTTGTGCTAATTGACGTCCCTTGAGATGTATTTTTGAGAAGCATGAATAGTAAAAGTAAAAACCAACAGAATGATAAAATTAATTTACATAATATCACGTATAATATCAATTTTTAATTATGTAAATAACATAATTGATTTCTATATATCGTCTATCTACCATCTTTAGAAAAAAAAAAAAATCCTCCAACGATGATAAATATTTTTTTTTCTGCAACTCAATCAGTTGGTAGGAAGTCAAACATCAGCTTTGAACATATACAATATAGTTAAACTTTTCTATTGGAGATGAATAAAAAATACTAAGAGAAATGGATAAGAATAAAATAGAATAAAAGTAGAATATGTTATTATCTTATTTTATGTTTGATGCATGTTAAGATAAAAAAGCTAGATACATCATTATATTATCACATTTTTTTTATATTCTAAATTTCGTACGTGATAAAATTTATACTAAAGAAAAGAACATGCCAAATCAATAAATATTAATTTATAAAATAAAATTATCATATTATGTTGCTTAAATAAATGTTAAAAATAAAATTATAAAAAGTATTTTATAGTATATTTGATTTCCTTTATAAAAATAATTTTTAGTTTTTAAAAATAAATTACATTATTTTTATTTTTTTCCACCAAACAAGCTTATATACCTTGAATGTTAGCGGGGCAAAATTAGTGTGGGAAAAATAACTGAGCGAGGGTATAAAAAATCAAAAGAGGGGAAGAGGATAAATAAAGCTAGTAAATGATGACAAGTTCAGCTATGTAATTACAGTGAAAATTCTACTAGCAAACTATTATTTTGTAAATTATTTTCACTTGATGGGCTTCATTAAATTAATGATTCATTTAAGTCCATAATATTTTATATCATTACTATTTTAACATAAAATAAAATAAATATTTATTTTTACTTTCATGTGTCTATTATTAGTATTTTAAAAAAATTATATAAAATAACTTTATCATTAATAAGAAATATTTTAAACAAAAATAACTTAAATAGACGTTCTTTGATAGCTGAAACAGGATGTCTTTTAAAAGTTCAAGTATATCGACTCTGCAATTAAACTGGGGTAAAGGAAATGGGAATTGAAGGATACATTAATACCCACTTTATTTATTACACTCACTGATCATAAATACCGCCACCTTAAAATTGTATACCATTGTCCTCTTTGGGTTACATATTCAAGATACAGTCGAGTGAAGATCCAGCCAAGGATTTTATTCACTAGTTGCCAATAATGTACCCTCCAAGGCTTCCAAAACAAAAGTGGAACAAACACAAGTCCGAACCCAAAACAGAATCCAAGTTCAACACTAACAAAATTCCAATCAACAGTACAATGTAGCCTCTTACATGCTGGTTGTGGTAGCACCTTAGGCTCTTTACCATTTGTTTTTTGAGTCAATGGAGGTCCATATAACCCATCATTGCCTTCAAAGGAAGAAGCTTCAAATGACTGAAGTTGGGTACCCGTTGGGATCTTACCCACCAAATGATTGAAGGAGAGGTTTAAATATGATAGGAATGACAAACTTGCAAGTTGCACAGGAATTTCTTCACTTAAAGAGTTTTGTGAAAGGTCCAAGGACTCAAGCTGTTTAAGGTTCCCTATAGATGTTGGGATTTCACCAGATAGAGCATTGTTTGATAAGTTAAGAATATGGAGTGCTTTGAATTCCATCAACTCCTCTGATATTGGTCCTTCAAATTGGTTGGATGAAAAATCAATTGATGTGAAGATTGTAAGAATTTTAACTAACTCCATCTTTTGACCTTTGTTGATGACTGTCACACTTTCTTGATATTGTGAATTCCCATATTCCAATTGGTTGATAAACTTAGATGCAGCTGGATCTTCATCGTGCATCATTTTTTCCCATGTTTTGAAATATTTTCCTGGTAATTTGCCACTGAAATGGTTGAAAGCAATGTCCACAATTTGAAGCACAGGCCAAGTCTTGTTGGCTTCCAAACATCTTAATGAACCTTGAAATTTATTATTTCCCAAAACTAGGATACTAAGTGAGGAGATTTTCTTCAAAAAGCAAGGAAATCTACCAATAATTTTATTTGATCCAAGGTCCAGTACTTTTAACCCTGAGCAGTTGGCAAGAGACTTTGGAATTGACCCATCTAATAGATTTCCATGAAGATTTAGAGTCCACAGGGCACAGAGGGATGGAACAGTATCAGGAATAGGGCCTGATAGATTGTTTTCCTTCAGATTTAATACTTGAAGAGTGTCACTCATCATCATCAAACATGAGGGAATTGTACCATAAATCTTATTAATGGAAAGATCAAGCACTTGAAGAAATGAAGCGTTGCAGAGGGAGTCAGGGATGCTACCTTCCAAAGTATTGTTTGAAAAAGAGAGAAAAATTGTGAATGACAGGTAATTACCAATATCTTCTGGGATAGAAGAGCTCAATATGTTGCTCGAGTAATCCAAGTAGGTAGCATATTTTGGGAAAACAGGTATTGGGCCATGCAGTTTATTATAATGAAGGTCAAGGACCACCAATTTGTCAGTAAGATTCTGCAGAGGTCCTTCAAAATCAGTCAGCAAATTTTAAGAAATATTAAGGCTTTCAAGATATGGTAGTTTCCAAATCCAGCTGGGCACTATACCTTTAATCTTATTACTAGAAAGGTCTAGGAAACCTAATTCGGATTGGTTTCTCAAGAAACCAGGGAAACTTTTCAAGTTGCAGGATGCCAATTTCAGACTCGTATGTTGGGAAAGGAAGACAGGTCAGCATTCACGTAGACTGATAAGTTGTTGTGTGAAAGGTCTAATGTCGTTAAATTTCTGAGTTGCAAAAAATTGTTTAGCTGCATTGGCCCATTGAACTTGTTTGAGGAAAGTTGGAGAATAGAGAGTGTCTTGAGTTGGAAGATAGACACTGGAAATGGCCCTGATAGATTATTGCTTCTTAAATCGAGAGTATTTAACATGAGGGAAGACACATTTGTGGATATGTCTAGTTTACTAAACTGGTTGTAGGAAAGCTGAATATTCTGCAGCATTGGAAGTGTAAAAAGATATGAAGGAATTGTCCCACTGAAAGAATTATAATGCAAATGAATGCTGACAAGTCTGTCCAGTCCTTCAAAATGAGAGGATGATGCAATTCCACCACTTAAACCATTGCGTGAAAGGTCTAACTGGGCAAGTTTTTTGGCCATTCCAAATGATGGCATCGGACCTGTGAAGTTGTTAGATGACAAATCCACGTAACTAAGTTCTGTGAGGCTTGACAGTGAATTCGGAATTAATCCACTAAATCGACAGGCTGAAAG